TTCTCAGTAACCTGTGTTGTTACTTTGCTTCAGCTGTGGCTGCAGGCGACATAACCCACATGGAGTTTACTGGGGAAAGGGAACAAGGAGAGAGATAGGTGTTAGCTAACCTGAAACAGAGATGGAAGAGAGGGAAAGGGTGGGAGGCGCTCACTTAAAAAGGGGAAGTTTGCACATGCGCACAGAGTTCTTATGCGCCACATAATGCATGATGTAACCATGGCTTAGTCACGAAACACAAGGCCCTTTGAGCTGTCTAAGTATCTGCCTGAATGCTGGTGCGAGTACCTTGCCAGTTGTCAGGGGGGTGGGGTCAACATAATGCCAGGTTACCAACACACTAGCACTAGGTATAGCCTCGGTGTTGCAGTGCACACTGGGCTCTTCTGAAGCCATCTCCATCCCATCTACATTTGATGTTTCCTTTGCTGTTCAAGATGAGATTCAATCAGTCTGTTTTCAAACTCCTTCCAGAATTTACCCATTGTCTCCTGCTCATGCTTCAATATGAACCATGACCCAGTCCTCTCTGCTGTGGCTTAATTGCCATGGCTTGGTCCATCCTTCAGTGCTCTCTAGAGTGTCACAGAACTCCATGTAGTTTCTCGGGAATGGCAGACAGGGTAGTCCTCCTACCCTGAAACATCTCTGTTCCACCACGAAGGAACCTGCTTTGCTCTCTTCTTCACATTCTCTGATATCTCTCATCCAGCTAATAATGTGATTTCTCACTATGGCACTTTGCATTCTCTTTTCTTATTGATGATTAATATCTAAACCATGTCACAGTGACTTCTCTGTGTAGCTTTGTAGACCAGGTTGGTCTCGAACTCATAGAGATCCACTTGCCTTTGCCTCCTGAGTCCTGGGATTAAAGGCGTGCACCACGACGGCTCAGCTTGACTTATTTCTTTTTAATGTAGAAAATAATGTGCCATTTTGGGGGGGAGTGGTCATAAACTCAGCAGCTTAAAAAAATACATAATATGGGAAGACCAAGGCCCTGATGCCAGCAGATTCAGAATCTGGCCAGGATCATTTCCCATGGATGCTGTCTTCTGTTTATGACTTCTTGTGGCAGAAAAAGTGAGTCATTTTTAGAGGGTCCCTTCAATGGATGCTCTTATCCAAAACATAACCCCAAACCTAACTCCTAGCATCTCATTTATGTAGACTCTCTCTCTCATCCTAGCCACATCCATCGTCCCTTTTCTGTGTTCCTGGAGTTGCCATCCATTAGAACCCAGAGACTTCGTCCAACCCCCACCCCACCCCCAACACAGATTAACCACAAGTAAATATCACCTGCTACACAAAGGCCAACCAAGATCAAGACCCATTAATGTATGATGAAGAAGTGAAGATATTCCATAGGAGGAATTGTCTGCGCCATTATGGAAACCAGAGTTGGGGTGTTGGAACAAACTTCTTGAGTGTATTTTATTTTCCTTTTTTAGAATGGCTTGTTCATAGTCTCACCAATGTGCATCATTTACTGTTTTACACATTCACATCCAGACCTTTAACATTTCAATGGAAGCTGTGGTAACTTGTTTTATTGCAATTACTCTAAACTTTGTGCTTCTTTCATGGTCTGGTTGGATATTGGAGTACTTGTTTTCATGAATATCTCATCCAACTCCATTGTTTTTAATCCAAATTTCTCTGCCTAGAGGTTTTTCTATTGGTTTATATGAACCTTTTGGAAATATATGCATTTTCTACTAGGCTTTTCTTTTTCAGTCATCTATGTCGATGTTATACCTGTAATAGAAATGTTTAATTATTTTTTAGCCCAATCTACATATATTTGCTCTTTTTCGTGGTAATGGGAATACAATCTTTAAGAAAGTAGAGCAGATTTCTTGCTTCAAGGTATCAGCATCAAGACTTACCCTCAAATATAGGTTTAACCCATTAGGGTGGGTCTGTCATTGCACGTGATTTAGTGTAGGGTTAGACCCATATTCATCTTCCCATTTACATCTGCTTAATGCCTGTATCCTGTCAACACAATCTATGAAACCAAATGGTTTCTTCTTATTTACTACCATAGGATGATATTTTCATCACGTATTTAATTTTCAAATCATTTAATAATTTTAAATTATTAGAAATAAATTAATTGCAGTAATGTTAGTCTCTTAAACTAATTATTGTATACAATGTTATAATATACTACTAACATTGATTTAGGCATTAACGTATTTACTGATTGTTCTTTGAAAGAGGGTCTCCTGAAAGTCAGGCTGTCCTCAAACTCCATATGTAGCTGAGGCCAGACTTTAACTGCCAGTTTTCCTTGCTTCAATCTCCTACCTGATGAGGTAGTGGGCATACACCACTATGTTCAATTTACATATATATATATATATGTATGTATATATAATACTATGCTTTTGTGGCATGTTTATAGATAGCAGAACAAGTCAGCTGATTTTTTTTGTTATTACTCCAAAAATGAACTCAAGCACTTTAGATATTCATGTGCTACAGAAATTCTGGAAGTTGCTAGTGACTTTCTTCTAAAGTTCCCATTACAATTACAATTAGGACTGTGTTGAGTCTATACTGACCTGGGAAGGCTGATGCCAAGCCACTGCTTTGCATCTATGAACACAGTGCATTTATGCTTGTAGTGAATTTCATTTCATTTATTTGATATGCATTTAAATTTTAGAGAACATTCTGGGAAATTGGCTTCAGTACTCCTCCTGGAAATGACTCCTAACTTCAAAGTCCATCGTCCTCATTGGAGAGCCTAAATGAAATTCGGAAAGTAGGACTTTAGTACTCAGCATCACTCACTCAGAGCTAGGCTGTGGAATGAATGGTTCCTAGATAGCCTGTTCTGTTATAATAGGGCCTGAAGGTCAAAGCCTCAGTCTTTGGTTCCTGGTGCCTTTCTACTAATTTGGCCCACAAATAAATCCCACTATCCTTAGGTGTAAAAATAGTTTAATTATATGCCTGACTCATGAATCATGTGAGGATTCAAACCAAGGATAGAAGGAACTTAGACTGCTTGCCCCTAATATTTAGCTCACCACAAGCACCTACTAAGTGCCCATTCTGTGACAGCACAGAACCAAGAACCTTAATCATGGGTGTCCATCACTCCTCACAGACCAAACCAAGACAAAGTCTTGTGAAAAGAAAAAGCATATCTGACTCCGTTTAATATATTTTACTAATACTTGTTTTAAAGGAGACATCTAATTTACACCGCTCATCCTTGACTTCTGATTCCAATGAGATTTTACCAAGGCTTCAAATTAATTGTTTTTAATTTCTGGGATGCTTCCTGGCCCCATAGGCTCATATGTTTGAATATTTAGTCCTCAGTTGGTAGAACTGTTTGGGAAGGATTGCGAGGCATGGCCTTGTTGAGTTACATGTGTCACTGGGAGTAGGCTTTGAGATTTCCAAGTGCACAGTAGGCCCAGTCCCGTCCTCTGTCTCTGTCTCTCTTTCTGTCTTTGTTTTTGCTGCTGATGGTTGTGGATCAGGATGTATACCTCTCAGTTACTGCTCCTGTGCTATGCCCATCTGCTTCCTGCCATGATGTTAATGGACTAAACTCTGAATCTGTAAACCCGCCCCTAATTAAATTCTCCCTCTTATAAGAGTTTCCTTGGTCCTGGTGTCTCTTCACAGCAATCCAATAGTAACTAAGATGCCCACAATTCTTCAAGATTTGAAAATTAGCCGGGCTTTGGTGGCGCATGCCTTTAATCCCAGCACAGGAGGCAGAGGCAGGCGGATCTCTATGAGTTCGAGGCCAGCCTGGTCTACAGAGCAAGTTCCAGGACAGCCTCCAAAACCACAGAGAAACCCTGTCTCAAAAAAACCAAAATAAAAAAGATTTGAAAATTAGTGAAATCTACTTATTATGTTCCCTAAGGTAGAATTTTCATATCTATGGATATCTAACTGAATTTTAGGGAATGTCAATGGCTTGGACAAGGCTAAGCAGCAGTATCAAAATTGGTCTCTGAATTCAGCTTTCCTCACTTCTATTATCAATCTTCCCACTTTCTGCTTGAGTACAATAGTGAGCACTCATCAACGTCCCTTAGGACCCATATGCGTAAGAAGGTCTATCTATGAAGGAGGTGTGACAGTGAGTTGAATGGCATCGTAAAGCAGTCCACACCATCGTGTTCCTCAGATGTCTCATCCAATTAGTCTGATGATAAGAGACTGTGATTTATTTTCTCACATATGTGGAAGGCACAGGTTCCCTTTTATGACTCTCTTGCAAATCTCAAAGAGCTAACCAAACATGGTAACCCAGAGCCCAATTTTCTGAACTCTGGAGCTCAATGCATCTGCACATATGACTGTTACTGAGATGTGTTACTGTGTGCTTCTGGTCGGCTGAGGCTTGCCATCTGAGGCACAACACCTGGCCCAAAGGACAGGTCTTATTTTGTCTTGTCCTTTACGTTAGACCAAAGGATTGAGCAAAGCTTGAGCAAATGCTCATCAGAGCATTTCAAAACAGCCTGGGAAGCAGAGAGAACACATGAGGGTGAAATCTCATTCATGGGCAGTGTTGCAGCAAGCACCTCTAGCTACTCAATCTCCTGGAGTGCCTGCCGGCTATGGGCTGTGTGCTCTCAAGTTCTGATGCCATTTGCCCAAAGCCGAAATAGGTTCTTGCATGTCTGGTCACAAGTGAGACAGGCAGCAGCTCTATGTCACAGGTGACCGCCTGACTTCCCTGTGGATACCCAATGCCTTCTGCTAGCATGCACATGCATGAGTTAACCCAGGAGAGACTGTTTTTAGGGCCTTACTAGAAGACAGAGAAAGAGGAAGTTTCAACCACTCTTGACAGGCAGTTCCTCCCCTGACCCCACCCAACCCGGTGACTAAAATTTAATCACATTCTCCCCTCCACATTAAACTTGATGCAGCCCATATAAATATACAATACTTGAAAACTGACCGTTACATTGATAAATAGTAATACTGTTGACTGACTGTTCAAGGCAAGCTCTAAGTCAGATAATGTGTGGTTAGCTGCATGTACCCAGGAAGTGGGTTGTTTTTTAGGTCTATGCTACCCTTTGCCCCCGCCTTTTTTTTTTTCTTCAGTACTGAAATTAAGCAGCAACTAGCAGAGGCCTCCTCACAGGACATGTGACTTCGCTCTTTTCCATTTTGCTGAAAGAGTCAGTAACAGGAGTGGATATCAGTTTTAATAGCAGGTCGTCATGGAGAAAAGGTATGCAATTCTAACTTCATACTGTGTATTAACAAATTGAAAGTATTGCTGATAGGAATGTACAATAATTTCCACAAAGTACACTGCATCTTACCTGTAACTCAAGCATCAGCGTGTTTCCTTTGGTGTAGAAAAGTGTTTTTTTGTTATTTTGTTTTTTGTTTTTTCGTGTTTGCAACTGACTAATTCAAAATTCTGTTGTGGATATATTATGCTGTTATCTTTGTTTGTGATTGTAGGCTAAACTGTTATAGACAGCATGGCAAAGTTTTACCTTGAAAGTGCTTTTAAAAGGAACCATTTGTAAAATGTGTGAGACCATGCACCTTTAACTTACAGCTTCATAAGGATATACAGTATTCAAAACTTTGTTAACAAGAGAAAAATGCCACTATAATAGCAGGAAATAGTCTCTTAAATTTCAGTGTGACAAATACTCTAAGGCATTGTGTAGAGAGCCTTGAGAACCTGATAAAATAGCGACTAAGAAGCAGGAGCGTTTTAACATATAAAAAGATGATTTCTGTCACAACAAGAGAGTATTTCAATCTAGCTTTTAAGTATCAGATTGGATAAAATCAGGTCAGTTTTTTAATTCGTAAATTGATCGTTACGTTTAAAACAAGTTTATCCTGATTTCACTGATGGTTATTTCTTGGTAGAGGGCTCACTTGAAGACATCTTTTAAGGTAACTACATTTTGAAATATTCTGAAATAATAAATGGAAAGGATTTGTTTATTACAAAACAGCAAGACCTTTTCTTAACCATTGATGTGCCAATGTTTCTCTGCATTCTAACTTACATGCAGAAATCATCAAAATGTTGTTAATCTTGGATACAAATACTTAAATAAATCTAACTCAAGAGTTCTGAGAAAGTATAATAAAAGTGCAAGATATGATCCTCTTGCCCCTAATATTATTTTATTGTGCTGTTGGATGAGGAAGTGATACCCTACAATGCAGATATTTGGGGTTATTAAAAATGTTTGCAGGGTTGGTAAATGACACAATTTTCTTTTCTTTTATTGTGGTCTATTGAAAGACACTTATAAATTTTTTTGACAGGGTCAGTTTTATAGGAAATTATTCAGCACACTGACACACTCCGGGCACGCTGCATTTTAAGCTCTTTTCAATTGTCCACATTGAAGCTAGCTACTTGTTGACTATTAAAATGATTATGGAGAAATGGAGATTAGGATGTGGTGTTCAATACTCATTATTGTTAACATGTCAGAAGATCTTGGTAACATACACTTGCTTTGATATTCTGATTAGAATTTCAATTTGTTGTATTTCCTTACCATGGAAAGCAGTATTTAAATCTGTCTTCAATATTATGCTGCTGAGACCCTACATCCTGAGAAGCTGTATCCTTTAGATAGTTTTGGTTGATATGTTATTGCTGATTCCATTGTATTATAAAAGAGCATCCCATGAATAGAGGTGGTGGAATCCACACATTAGCAAGAGTTCAGATGAACATCCAAAGTAAGGAAATATGATAATAATGATTTAAAACATTTTATATGGTTGGAAAGCAAATTCTTTGTAAGCAGTGTTTTTGCAGCTTCTATTAGATGCAGATATTTTATGGAGAATGTATAAAGCCAAGGGCAAGCTAAGACGGTTTGGGATGGATTTAGACAAGGCAGCAAGTAAAGATAGGTACTGATGATTTCAACACTGTTTTTGCAAAGCAGTGGTGCACAGACTCTGGTCTATTCAGACCAATTCCTAAAGGACTTGATTGAAATCCAGTTATTCCAGATCGCTCTACCTTTGTGCATGCAGGCTGAATCGTTAAGCAAGTTTTACTGAAATAAAACAAGACAGAGAATTTCATTTTCAAAGTCACTGCACGACAAACCTGGTAAAAGAACACTATAATTTTCACGTGGGGCCAGCATTCAGCCGAATTCAGAAAGGAGGAAACTCTTTCCTACACACCCCACCCCCTTTACTAATCTTTGACTCTCTTCACAGCATACCCCACACAGCCTCTGATTTAAAATCCTGCAGTTGACTTCTCCCATGATGCAGATCACAGGGACTTTAAGGCAAGCAAACTTGTGCTTTAAAAGGAAGGCTACATGGCCCAGATGTAGCTCTATATAATATGGTCTGTAGACAACAGGATCTAAAGAGTCATTTAAATGCTGACGATTCCAGTCTTGCTTAAAGAAAATGGTGTGCGTGAATGGTTGTAAATAGTCCAGGGCAGAGTGTCTTCCTACCCCAGTCAAACCTGTGGTATTTCAAGGAAAAAGTTCTGAGAGTGTCTAATAAGGATCCACCTCGGGATGTACTCATCCCTATCAACTATTCCTACAAAAGTACACTCATTTCACAGCAAGTGAAAACCCACTGCAGTGTGTCTTCAGACAATTTGGTGTTTCCATACGCAAAATACTTAACATGATCAATTACCTTATAGGTGTAGATTTTGGGAAGTGGATTGTGTAGAGTATGTGTGCATACTTGTGTGCCTGTGAAGATGAGTGTTTGTGTGTGTGTGTGTGTGTGTGTGTGTGTGTGTGTGTGTGTGTGTGTGTATGTATGGTGCTCACTTATGTTTGTGTTAGTGTATAGGCCAAAAGTCAGTGTTAAGTGTCCTCGTTAATTGTTCACAACCTAGTAAGCTAGACTGGATGCCCAGAGAACTCCAGGCATCCGCCTGTTTCTGCCTTTCCAGTGCTAGTATTACCAGCCCAGTCTACAGTCTCCGACTTCTTATGTGGAATCTGGGGATCTGAACTCTGGTATTCATGCTTGTACAGTGAACACTTTACCCACCTGACCATCTTCCCTCACCAGAGATGCAGTTTTTAAGCATTTTTACTGTTCTGAATTAAACTAGATATGATATTTCTATAATGTGAAATATGAGTTCTATGACAACAGTTAGAAATGTATTTATAACTTTTGTGACTCTTAACTTCTAGCAAACAAAACCTTTTTGTTGCTAATGCTGCAAAACTAGCAGGGCTAGCCATGATAGTCTTTGATTTGTGATAGCTCCACAAAATACAGTGTCAGGAAGAGCTAGCTCCAGGATCTCCTTTGAGACTTACAGGATTGGATCTTTATGCCCTCTGTAAGGAGTATAAAGAAGTTCTCACTGAGTTAAGAGCAGAGCGCCACACCATATATCCTTCTTTCTTTAAGCTTGTGGCAAAAGAATGTGTTTCCTATCACTACAGTAAGACCTAAGATCTATATCTAAGTGCATTCACTTGACTCAGACACTGCAATTCTGAAATGTAGACCTAGGTCCAGGTTCAGCTAATGAATCTGCACCAGTAGCACATGGGCTTTCTCGAAAAGGAGGATTCTACTGAATTAGGAAGAGACACTTTCCCAGAAGGTTATTGTGCTACTGTAGACAAAGCCACAGGACTCCTCTATAGAGTGGCAAACGGTTGCATTTGAAAATATTGCTCCCACCTTCTCCAAACCTGTAACTACACAGAAATACATAAAAGGCATGGCTGACTAAAGTCAGAATTTCCAAGAAACTGAGTTGAAAATATTTTCAACAATGATTTATGCAAACATCCTTTGAATAGTCTAGGGTTTATAACCTAAGACAAAGGTCATCTTATTTTGAAAATTTTGTTTACTTCTATTTTATGTGTATAAGTATATAGCCTGTGTGCTTGTCTCAGATCACATTAGGGCAGTGCCACAGAGGCCAAAGACGATGCCAGATCCCCAGGAACTGGAGTTATAGGCAGTTGTGATCTGCCATGTGGATCCTGGGAATAGAACCCAGTTCCTATGCAAGAGCAGTTAGTGCTCAAAAACAGTTAACTTATTACAATGTAAATAAAGTATATTAATTACCACAAAAATATAGGAAGGATGTTCCATCTGGATTCAGAAATTTTGCTGTTATTGGTGTTTGCCAGGACACAAACTATAGAAACTTTGTAAATAGTATACCATTGGATCTGTCCTCTTAGATAATTCAGGGAAATTGTGAGGAGGGCTTATGGTGGGTCTCAGAAACAAACAGCAGGAAATGAATGTATCAAACAAGGGAAACATGGTCAAGGGCAGAGTCTCAAAGCAGGAATGAAGTGTCCAGGTCTACTGAGAAGTAATGTAATGCAAGGTGTGGCTGGATGGTGGGGTTGTCAGGGCACCCACCTATTGAGCTGACTGCAACTCAGAGATGGAGATGTAACAGCAGCAGTGAGTGGCAGTGTCCACCCCCGAGACCCCACGCTGGCATTGAATGGGCTTTGTTACATGAGCATTAGCATACTCCTTTAATTTTTATCTCACTGCTGAGTGCTGTACTCCTTGGAATTTAAAGGCAGACTGAACTCACGGACAAGACACAATCCTTCTAGACAGGCACTCACTTCCTAGCCCAGACACCCAAGGCTCACTTTAAGAGACCTTTTAAGGCCCAGGCTGCACTTTAAGAGACCTTTTCCTTTTTTGTAGAAGTATTTAGATGGCTTAATTAGATGATTACACATCAAAGGAGCTTTTCAGAGAAAAACCTTCTCACATTCATCTTTCTGTTTACCTTATTTATTCACTCTGATCTCAACTGTCATTTTCAAACTGATTTATACTCCTCAAGTTGTTCCTGTAAAAAGTATACACTTAAATATGTTCATATGTGTGTGTTTACTTAGAGACCTAATTTTACACACTTCTCCTATTTTGTTTTTTGTTTGTTTGGTTGGTTTGGTTTGGTTTTTCAAGACAGGATTTATCTGTGTAGCATTAGAGCCTGTCCTGGAACTCTCAGAGATCCACATGCCTCTGCCTGCTGAGTGCTAGGATTAAGGACGTGTGTCACCAACGCCCAGTTCCAACTTTTTTTAGCAGTGAATATTGGGAACATTTTCCAATAAAAATTAATGATAACAATACTGTTTTTACAACAGTTTGGTATTCTATATGAATTTATTATATTGAGTTGGGGTTTTTCTCTAAGAGTTATAGTGTCCATCACTTTAAATTTTCTGCAGGTTA